GCCTTCATGTGTCCTGGGCACTTGCCAGGCCAGCGTTGTAAATACAGTTTTTTTCTTAATGTTCTGACTGGTTTAATAAAAGTTGTATAAAAATAAAACAAGATTGAAAACATTTGAGTCAAGAATAAAACATCTTTCAAAGTCATCAAAGATCTATTTCATCTTACAGATAAACTAAAGGGATTTAACTTGGAAACATAATTAATTTTTGTTTGTTTGCTGGAAGTAAGTATAAATTGTTTAAAAAAGAAGAAGAAGGAGTGATTAGTGAACCGCCTATCAGTCAAAGTCGTGAATAAATTTCAGCCAATCAGAAAAAGCAAGCAGATCCACTTGGAACCAGTCTGAACAGGTGTGGCCATTGTTGCTCACTGTCACTCTTAAACCAGCCGGTAAAGAATGCAAACTGGTTTGTGTGTCTGCCACATTCATATAGCTTGGAGAAATACTAAATGAATTTTCCAAGTAAATCACATGGAAGGCTGCTGTCACTCAGCAAAACCAAAAAAATTATCATTTATTGTCTAATCCATCAAGCTGCTTACGTTTAGATGTTTGTGAGATGTTGGTTCTCATCATAGTGTCGTGAAAATAAAACAAGTTATCTTGTTTTATCTTATCCACAACATAAATTATATTCACAGATGTGCATATTTACTATTTATTAAATAAGACCCAGCTTTCACTTGGCTGATTTATTCCCTTTGCGCTGCGATGAGTAGTATCTGGTGTCAATGAAAGTATTTGTACAAATGAAGACAGTTCTATTCTATCAGTCAAGACCTCATTAAAGGTCTTCAGGTCTTGAATTATGAGTTTATTTTTCTTGTTATATTCATTGATATTCTGCAGAAACAGGCTGAAAGCTCCCATTTTTATACAGTTTTTTAATTCAAGTTTAGTCAGAGTTCCATCAGAATTTTGAAGTTGTTGCATTTCCTTGATTTAGTTTGTGTTTTTAGCCTTTTTTTATTGTCTTTGTGGATTTGTATTCAGTTGTATTGATGGTTCTTGTTTGCTCTTGACCTCTTTGTGTAGCACCATTGTTGTTTTTAAATGTGCTATATAAGTAAACTTCATGTTGACTTTGATAATTTATCATATATCACATTTGTTTAAGATGATATTGTGTAATTTTGTTTTGCTATTTAAGTTGTTCTGGTTGTCACACAGAGAACATGTGTACAGTTTTGGCTTCTTTAAAGCAGGTTGATGTGTTTTAGGGCTGTCATGATTAGTTGACTAGTCGACGACTACTCGACTATTAAAATAGTCAATGACTGATTTACTGTAACTAGATACTGCATAGTGGTAACATAATGACCCCCGCACGCACAAATGCACCAGAACTCAGAAGTCTTTGTTACTAATAAATGTCATACTAGGTGCATCCCAAAATTATAGTGCTTTGGGTGGGGCTCTTTTTTTTATTTTTTTTTTGGGGGGGGGGAGGGCATTGGTTGACCTGATGGATAGCCCCTCATCAGAGCTAAACAACCAATGAAAATCTGAAGCTCCTATGTTTAATAGTTTTTGAGCAATAATCATTTTTGTATGTCCAGATACCCCCTTTTTGGATAAATTGGGGGTCTGGGGGGTGGGGGGCACTGATTGGTGGGCCTGATGGATAGAGCTTCATCAGAGCTAAACAACAAAATAAATCTGAAGCTTCTATGTTGAACAGTTTCTGAGTTTTAAGCACTTNAAAATATATTTTAAAAAATTTACAAAACCAAACAGCCTACAGTATTTTTACAGTCTTTATTTTACAGTTAAAATAAATGTTTATCAAATAAAGTTTAATGTTACAACTAATCGTGGATCCCTTTAAAGTCATGTAATGATAAATATTCACTGAAATGAACTTACTTCACCTGAGGAACGGCTCCAAGGATTGGTTCACATTTGTTTGATGTTCTTACTGTTTGTACACCCAGTGCTTTTTGGGATTTCTAATCTTTACAGAATAAGTTCTGATCAATCTCTGATAGAAACTGGTGGAAAAAACAAAATAGCTTTTGTGTGCAAAAATAAGGTGTCAAATTTAGCTTAGTAAGTAAAACAACACTTTATTAGGTTTTGGTGCAACAGTAGATTTTTTTCACCTTTTTTTTTAGACCTAAAATCTAAAATGGTTTCACTGTAGACGTGCTCTGTCCTCCTGCTCGACAGTAAAGTAATCTCAGGTCATCACAGCCAGACAAAATGACAGTAATCACTGAAACACACACACAACCACAGCAGTTTAGTTTCAGGAACAAAGTGAAAAATGTGAACTTCTCCTTTGAGGCAGTAAATTTCTGCACAAACCTAACCTGCTTCAGTAGCCAGGAAGGTGTTGCTCAGTTCACCTGTCAGATGATGTCATTGCTCCTAATGGGTCATGGGAAGTGTTCCTGTAACCCGTGACCTCTTTGTGTTAGACAGATGAAGTGTTTCTGGAAGCTCAGATCCAGAACATCACCACGTCACCCATGTTCATGGAGAAAGTGTCTCTAGAACCTTCCATGATGTACAACGTTACAGAACTCAACAGCGTTTCGTGTGGAGAGCAGGGGTAAAGACGTTTTATTCTTCTCGTTGAGTTAAAAAAAACTTCCATAAACCTGATGCTTATTCAGAACTTCTCACTCCGCAGGGAGTCGACGTTCGGTAAAATGTCCTACCTGCAGCCCATGGACACTCGGCAGTATTTGTACTGCTTGAAGCCGAAGCCGGAGTACGCAGAGAAGGCCGGCGTCATTAAAGGAGTGACGGTGATCGGGAAGCTCGACATCGTTTGGAAGACCAACCTCGGGGAGAGGGGGCGGCTGCAGACCAGTCAGCTGCAGAGAATGGTACCAGAGCTCGTGGCAGCGTAATATCACCTGCCACCAAAGAGCTGAAACCGGGTTTATCTGTCTGCTAACATGTTTCATGAACCACTGGACAGATTTTAATGAAGCTCAGACAATAATCATTAGATCTACAAATACCCAGTCGAAGATAACATTACAAGCCACTAAAAAGAAGTTATTGGTTTTTATGCATATTGAGGTAAAATTTGATGTTTTAGTAGCACTTAGTTGTGTCACGAAATCACACAACACAGAATGGGATTGATCCAAACCACTGTAACACTCCATCCCCCCTCAGTGTAAGATTATCACAGCGAATGATGTTCAGTCTTATAAGGAAGGTCTTTTTTTTTCCTTTTTTAGCCACTTCAGTAGAAAACAGAACTGAATGTTAGTTTTTTAATTTCTGAATCATCCGTGACTTTTTTTAATACTGTAGTAAAGAAGAAAAGAAAAAGTAGAAGAGAAATATAGGAACTGTAAAGAGAAACCAATAGAAATTATACAACATGTGAAATGAACACCAATAACACACAGTACAACACACCCAAAATCTGACCATCAGCAAATGAAGAGAACAAACACCCAGCAACCAAACATAAACATATGTGTGTACATATACCCATACGCACATATAAAATAATATATACACACACACACATACACATCCACACACACCTGCGTGCAATAATTATAACCTCGTTAATTAATATACACAAAACACACACACACCCATACACACAATCAGGCACATACACATACAGGTGCTGGTCATAAAATTAGAATATCATGAAAAAGTAGATTTATTTCAGTAATTCCATTTAAAAAGTGAAACTTGTATATTATATTCATACATTACATACAAACTCATATATTTCAAATGTTTATTT